TCAGACTGCTGGAAATGCTGGAAGAGATGCCAATGAAATGCACTTGTTCTTTTCTCTTTTCTGAACTCTGAGCAATTCATTCTTCTATCCTGTATTGTTATACAAGTTTTCTCATTGCTTGAGAAATTTAAGTTTTATTTGATTACTAAGTCCCTGGCATTTTCACTTAAATTCCAACATTTCGACTTTCTTCTGGTCATCAAATCATTTTTAAACTTTCAAATATTCAACAGCACTGCCCCGATCAGTTTTGCACAAGACACCGGCGAAACGGCAGCCCACGAGGTCAAGAGCAAAACACGTTGGCCGAGAATCTACTGTCAGGTGCAAGGGGCCTGGCCGCCCTGCGCTGCACACATGGGCAGTCACTGAACCCTAGGGGGCCCCGAACGACGACGCACTCTGATAAGGAGACGTTTGCTGCTTTGTGGTAGCTTTCGTTATTTTCACAAATAAATTGTCATTATTTTTAACATGGCGAATCTGCAAACTGGATAACCTGCCCCCACATGTTAGAGAGCTGACTAAAACAGCAAAATCACTTCATTTCTCTCCAGGTCTCAGTTTACCCCTGTGTGGTATGTGGCATGGATGCTCTTGGACCTGAGCTACTGTAAATGAGCTCAAGACCGTGGGGTTTCAGGTCACAACTGCTAGTTTATCTCCATGGAAATGGAGTTTAAGAAGTCTGAAAAGGCACATCAAAATCAAGGCACCGAGAATTCTGCTTTTCTTCCCTCAAACATTCCTTTTTTCCTGCAACAATGATAACATCACAATTATGTTGTGAATGGTGCCCTTTCTGTTCACAAAGTGGCAAATTGCATCTACCATAGGCAGGTTAAAAAGAAAACACTACCGGTGTGGGCCGGCAGGGAAGTAAAAGGAAAATGATAAACAGACATTTAAAAGTTGCCCTGGGGACTTAGTCTAGGAATGAGCAGAATCAAGCCAAGTTCCACGGCCCAGCTTGGGGAAGGATGAGGGTCGGGGCACAGAGTGAGGTGCTGCTGGAACATAAGCTGCATAAATAGGCGTGGCCCCCTAGCCAGGGGAGGGGGACACGGTGGGGAGCAGGGTAGCAGAGCCAATGTTACAGGGGATAATAAGAACTATACCCACCAAGCACCAATATGTGCCAGGGACTCTTCCACAGCCTTACATGACTTAACTCATTTCCACCTCAAAATGACACTGTGGTATAGATGCTGTCATTGTCTCATTTTAGAGATGAACAAACTGAGGCCCAGTGAGGTTTAGTAATGAGCCCAGTATTCCAGTGCTAGGAAGTGACAGACCCAGGCAGCCTGGTCCCAGATCCCACGCTGTGGTTAACCCATCTATGCACATCCAGAAGGTTAGACCCAGGAGTCCAAATACATGAAGAAATATTTTTTGAGCACCTGCCACATGCCAGGCATTGTTTCAAGCACTGGAGGCATGAACAACATAGATAAGGTTGCTCCTCGAAGGAGCTGACATTCCAGCATGACAGACAGGCAATAAAGAAGTAAACAAAGATCATTTCAACAGTGATGCAGGTCATGGAAATAAAGCAGGAGAAAGGGTAAGAGACACGCATGGTGAAGGGAGGCAATGTTGGAGAGAGTGGTCAGGAAAGGCCTCTTCAAGGATGCGAGTCTGAGCAGAGACCAGAAGGATGAGACGGACTGGCCGCTCGAATCCTGAGGGGAGAGCTTGCCAGGAAGAGGGAACAGTCAATGCAAAGGCCCTGAGGCAAGCAAGAGTGTTCGAGGACAGAAATAAGCTGAATGTTGGGGGCGTAGCAAGGGGCTTGGAGATGAGGAGTGGGCAGGGTGAGATCGCAGGTGCCTGCAACCTCAGCAACCACACATCCCAGGCTGGTTGAGCCTGCGTCCAACAGCGGCACCAACCTTTCCGACGATTAGCATCCCATTGCTCAGGGTGCCTCTCGTCCCTGGACAGCACAGAAATCCTCTGTCAGCCCCAAAGGGAGGAAAAATGTTGAGATTCCAACCTCCTCCTCTTCAACAGCCCCCATGGCAAAGCCGGCCCAAGCCTTACAGGATACTCTTCGTTAATTCCCCTCTTCCTCCCAGCCCTTCAAGATAAGGCTCTAGAAGAAGGGAATGTTGAACCGGCCACTTACCAACTCTGGGTGAGTTACTTGACCTTGGTTTCCTCATCAGTGAAAGAAGAGAAAGGTTGGTTGGTAACCAGAACCACATGGGGCAATGCCGAGAGCCGGACCCCTTGCAGGCACTCGGTACGGGTCAGCTCTTGGGGCAGCTGTTGTGTCTGATTCAGATACACGTGCTGGCCCAGGGGGCACGGTCCACATAGAGATTAACAGGGACCTGTCCCTGGAAACCCACTCCTCCTTCTAGGATTTCTCATTTAGACCTTTCATCATGCAGAGTAGCCAATTCGCACTGACAATTCAAATGGATATTATTTCTAATAACAATGACAAAAATAACCAGAGCTAACATCTATCTGTTTCTACTGTGTGCCAGGCTCAGTGCTAACTGCTTACATGGACTGTTTAATTCAACCCTCACAACATCCTATGACGTGAGAGGATAAATCCATGTTGCTTTAAGTCCCTCAGTTTGTAGTAATTCATTGTGGCAGCCCTAGGAAACTAATAAAAAAGGAGACAATAGAAAAGATACTTCTCCAGTCACCCTTAGACCCCGTGTGGCAATAAGAGTTCTCATCTGAAAGTCATGGTTCCCCACTGGCCGCGAGTAGGCAGGAGGTAGTCAGCGATGAATCAATCCGTGGCTCACAGGAAGCTCGCTTTCCTGTCAACAAAGCACGAAGTGAAAAGCCGTCGACCTCGGGCCAGAGGGCCGTCCACCTGGCCCCTGTCACGAGACTCAGATGGAAAGAATATTTTCATAAAGAGGAGAAAAAAATAGGAGAGCCCAGCAAACTGTGTTGGCATCTGGTCCCGGAGATGCCCTTTCTGCTGAGGAGGAGAGCGTGCTGGTGGGGACAGCCCGTAAGAAGAATGTCTAGGCCTTGCAAATCTCAGTTTAAAGAATGGGCCAGATATTTCCCCACAAACCCATTCGATGCTAAAAGCAGAAGTTCTTAAGCATTTGGCAATCCAGTTCCCTTTGAGGACCTGGTAAATGCTATGGATTAACTCTCCACCCAGAAAAAATTTCCACGTGCAAAATTTGGGGTGACATTTCAAGGCATCTTAAACTCCCAAAGCCCACTTATTGATGAACCAATATTTATCAATTGCCTACTATGTGCCAGGCACTGACCTACATGCTGGGAATATAAAGGAGGAAGAATAGACAAGGTATTTTTCTTCTGAAGCCCAGAGCTAGAAGTGAGGTGTACGAATTTCCTGTGGCTGCCAGAACAAGTTACCACAAATGGGGTGGCTTAAAATGACAGGAATTTATTCTCTCACCGTTCCAGAGGCGAGAAGTCTGAAATCAAGATGTCGGCAGGGCTGGTTCCTTCTGGAGGCTCAGAGGCAGAGTCTGTTCCACACCTCTCTCCTAGCTTCTTGTGGTTGCTGGCAATCCTTGGTGTTCTTGGCTTGTAGACACTTCACTCCATTCCCTGCCGCCATCTTCACGTCCCCTTCTCCCTCATGCGTCTCTCTGTGTCCTCTCCTCTTCTTATGAGGACACTAGTCATTGGATTTAGGACCCACCCTAAATCAATTATGATATCAAGATCCTTAACTAATTATATTTGCAAAGACCCTGTTGCCAAATAAGGTCACGTTCTGAGGTTCAGAGCGGACATGAATGTGGTGGGGACATTATTCAACCCAACACAGGTGGTCAGATGGTTAAACAGTCACCAGGGAGAGCAGCAAGGGACACCTGAGGCAGCCAAGAAAGCTTTCCTGAGGACTTCATGTGGAATCGGGACCCAAATGGTGAGTAGAAACTAACTACACAGAGGAAGCGGAAAGTGTCCCTAGAAGAACTAACCACATAGGTGAGGCCCACGCAGAGGGAGGCAACAACTGCCGACGGCTGCGAGACAGAGGGCGGTGCAGGGAACCAGTGTGGAGAATGGGCTGGTCTTGTAAGCTGCTGTTTGGAGTTTGGATTTTATCCTTAGGGCCACAAAATGCCTTTGAAGGACTGGAAGCAGAGAAGTGTTTCTAGAAAGTTCACCCTGGGTGAGGTGAGGAGGATGGACTGGAGTGGGTTAGACCAGATGCAGGGAGCTCAAGGGCCCATATCTCAGGGGAAAGCTCCTAGCCTGAGGATGCAAGAGGCTGAAACTCTGTAGAGACATCCCATGCGCTGTCCTAACCAGCTAGCTGGAACTCCCACGAGCCTAATGGAGGCGTTTAACCCAGCGCAGATGGGATCTGAGCCGGCCAGTGGGATCAACGCCAGCCCAAGAAGAAAATCCAAAAGTCTGAAAGCTCTGACACTTGTTCTTTATCTAAGTGGGGAAAGGGGCTCAGCATCTGAACAAAAACGATTTATCAACACTTTGACCCATTCAGACGCACGCCTCTCGCCTTCTGCTGTCCCTTCGAGGTAAGTATGCCTAAAAGGACCAGTAAGTCCTGTCTGCTCACAAATAAGTCCTCTTGCCTTTGTGGGCTTCCCTGACTCTCAGTTGTTCTTCAAAGGTCACTTTCTCCCTTGAACCCCTAGGCTGGGTTCCACACCCCAAAAATTCCTGATGCAGGCTCATGTACTAGATAGTAATCATTATTTTCCTTTTAACCTGCCTCCTCTACCAGACAATAAGTACCTTAAGGGCAAAGTTTTTTATCTTGTTCACCTCTGTCTGTATTCTTGGCTCCTAACACACGCACAATAAGTGTTATCAGATGGATGGACGGACGGATAGGTGAATTTCTTCATGATGCTGTACTGGCTTCAAATTGAGTTAATCAATTAATTAAATCAACATGGACCCATCAATTGCTCTTTAAGTGCTTTACGCTGCCCCTTCCCCCCAGAAGAGTCAGGGTAAGACATCCAAAGAGATGCTGGCTTGGCATCTTCAATACTCACCTCATTCCTTCTGCAGCCATCTTATCAAGGTTGACAGTGTCCTTCGTTTCTGCCCAGTTTGCTCCCAGGTCACCCCACCCCATGTCATCTGCCAAAATGATCACGAAATTCGGTTTCTGGCCTCTTGTTTCCCCACTGAAGCAAAAATCCACAAGAGGATAAAGACATCCCGAGAAACTCACCCCCACCAACAAAACCTTTAGAAAAAGCCAGCCCATGGCGGTAAAGGGAGGATTCTGGGTGTCTGGAGTGATGGTGGGCCACAGCTAGAGACTTCTCTAAGAGCTCCCTTCTGCTCACTTTCAATGCCGGGAGTCCCTGGAGAGCAGTAGTGGAGTTTGCAAGAAGACACTGCTGGTGGTGGTGGTGGTGGTGGTGGTGGTGGTGGTGGCGATGGTGGCGGTGGCGGTGGTGCCTACAGGGGTGGTGGGGGCTACAGAAATGGGGCCCCCATCTGGAATCCTAATTCAAAAGAGTCAGGAAACTTGCAGCCTCGAATCTGGCTTTCCCCACTGCAGCTCTGTAGGGTCCCTGGTTGTGCACGGCAACCAGACATCAGTGTCAACAACTGCTCTTTGGCCACTTAGAAAATGAGCCCTCTGCGCTCAGGGATGTTGGAGCCGAAACACAAGCCTTGCACCTGTTCAGGACTCCAGCTGGTGAGTGCAGGATAAATGCTCACATCTGCAGAACACCTGGATGTTCTAGAAACCACAGTCAGCCTCGAATGAGTTTCTGAGTTCCAGATGATTAAGGACTTCATATTTCTCTAAGATTTCCTAAAAGAACAAAAATTGACAAGAAAACAGAGTTAAAACTGCCAGTGCAGCTGTGTTTTCCTCAGTAGCTTAGGAAATAATCACTTTTCCATGCCAACACATGTTTTCCTTCTTATTCAAATATTCAACTGGTTCATCAGTTTCTCCACCTGAGAAATAGTGATGCCAATAATATTTGCAACGGATCTATAATCACAGGGTTGGAAGTAACACTGGAGATGATGATACTCAACCCACTCACTTCATAGATGAGAATATGGAGGCCCAGAGTTCTGGATGGAGTAAGGGCCAGCACCCAACTCTGCAAAATCTCAGTGCTCCCCACTCCCACCCCACCATGCTTCTCTGACTCACAAGAAATTCCTAAATTAATTGTGATCTTATCAAACCCATTGAGGATTCTAGAAGAAAGGGTGAGACCCTAACTTCCTCTAAGACATGAGTGACACCCATACTTCCTTTCTAACAGTCATGCTGTAAACTAACATGTCTATATAAAATTCTTGATAGAAATTAACTTGGGAAAAAAGGAAATGTAAGAAAAAAGTTAATGGCAGAATCTAGATGGAGATTCTACGGGAGCTCACTGTAGAACTCTTTCAATTTTGCTGTATGATTGAAATGTTTCATAATAAAATGTTAGAAAAAATTTCAAAAGAATTTTTTAATGGAAATGTGTCCCTTTACAACTTGACAATGTAATTTTTAATAAGAAAATCTAACTATGTGCTCAACCAGGGCTTCTTACACTTGGATGTACATACAAATCAGCTGGCGATTAAAATGCAGATTCAGTAGGTAAGACTGGGGCCTGGGATCTGTATTTCTAACAAGCTCCCTGGTGAGGCCTAGACTGCTAGTCCTCGGATCACACTTTGAGTAGCAAGATGCTTAGAAAACAAAAACCTCATGATTCTGGTCCTAGAAGAAAACTAACCTAACCGGAGATAATTAACCTAACTGATGCTTACCTAACTGGAGATGATTCAGCTTCAGTGGATAAACAAAAAAGCAATAAACCCAGTTGAGTTTTGAAAGACAGGAATTAAAGGTTATGCTTTCAACTGCAAGTTGCAAATGGAAACCATAGAATAAAACCATATTACCTGTAGTTCACTTAAAAGCCCTAAATTTACAAGGTTAGTAAGGAGACACAGACTTGAAATTCTGTACCAAATAAAAACTTCAGTTGAACACCCAACCCATGGAGAGGATTAAAGGAGAACTAATTTGTAAGATATAAAGATGCTACTAGGGCTGGGGGTATGACAGATGCTATTTCCAGTTGTATATTCCTGCCCTCAAGGAAGGAATGCAGAGCTGACAAAGTCAGCCAGCCAACCCAACAGCCAAGCCAAGTGGATGGGGGTGGTTGGAGGTATGTAAATTCTGGAAGACCTAGATAAACTCAAAAGGATGGGCAACGCACTTAATCAAAATAAAAGGAAGTCCAAGTAAACAGCCATGGTCATCTGCAGGCCAATGAATCAATTGTTCAGAAATGCAAATTCTTCCGTTTTCCAAAAGGAGAGTTATTATTTCAAACTCAGTTAGATTCAATTCGTATTTGTTGTTCTTGAGGCCCAAAAGACTTCTCTTTTTCTAGAAGAAAGAACCTTTGCACAAGGAGGCTGCCTAACAAACACTTGTTGACCTGCCGGTTGGTTCTTAGCCTCATTCTACTGGCTTCTGACCATCAGCAACAATCACAGGAGGCTTTTCTCCTTAAAGCTACTTAGTTTGTTCCAAACTAAGTAAGCCACTAAACTAAGTGGCCTCATTCTTCAGCCATAATCTATTTCAGAATGATCCAACACAAAAGACTTCAGGGAAAAAAATTCACTTAAGAAAGAACTTAATTTTAAGATGAGAACATAAATAAACAGATTGTTTTTCTTAACAGTTCTATGATAAAATATTCCTTTGAGGATTTTCAAAGAGAATCATTAATACTTAAATTTTTCATAGAATGGAAATAAGCTAACTTAGCTAGTACACCATTGCATTATCCTTCACGCCCACACCTCCAGGGAGACGTTTAATTCTTTCCCCATTTATTTTTTTTAACTAAAGGGAAAAGGCAAGCCAGACATTCAAAGAATGGACTCCAAGACATGGACCTTGATAAGATCCAAGCTGATGTTATGGAAAACAGTATGGAGTTTCCTCAAAAAATTAAAAACAGAATGACCATATGATTCAGCAATTTCACTTCTAGGTATTTATCCAAAGGAAATGAAATCAGTATCTTGAAGACATATCTGCACCCCCATGTTTATTGCAACATTATTCACAATAGCCAAGATACGGAATTAACCTAAATGTCCATCGATGGATGAATGGATAAAGAAAATGTGCTGTATATATATAATATATCTAAACAATGGAATATTATTCAGCCTTTAAAAAGAAGGAAATCCTGTCATTTCCAACAACATGGATGAACCTGGAGGACATTATGCTAAGTGAAATAAGCCAGGCACAGAAATACAAATACTGCATAATCTCACCTACATGTGGAATCTAAAAAAGTTGTACTTATAGAAGCAGAGAGTAGAATGGTTGTTGCCAGGGCTGAAAGGTCAGGCAAATGGGGAGATGTTGGTCAAAGGACAGAAACTTTCAGTTATGCAGAATGAATAATTTTTGGAGATCTAATTACTATAGTTAATAATACTGTATTATATACTTGAAACTTGCTAAGAGAGTAGATCTTAAATGTTCTCACCACAAAAAAATTAAAAAGGTAACTACGTGAAGCAATGGATGTGTTCATTACCTTGATTGTGGTAATCATTTCACAATGTATACATATATCAAAATATCGTGTTGTACCCGGTAAGTATATAGAATTTTTATTTGTAGATTATACCTCAATAAAGCTGGGGGGAATTTTTTAAAAGATCCAAGCTGAGACTTTGAGTTCAGTCCCTAATCTGAGGTTACTTTCCCAACTTTTTCATTACACATCTCCCTCCCCCTCTTAGAACGGAGAGTGGACACAGGCAAGGAGAACTCCTCTGGGCTGAGGAAGAAAGTGGGAGTCTTTGGCAAATACAGCATTCACCCCTCCTTCCACTGGGCTAGAAGGTCCCTGACCCCGTTACTCAATAAACCTCACAAGGAAGGCCCATCTGTTCCATCCAAGCAGAACTGACTGGAAGGGATCCTCGTTGAGCACAAGTATGAACCCCTGCCCACATCTCAGTGCTCCTCAGGCAGCAGGAGAGTGAATGTTAGTTGCCAATCAGATTTAGCAATGATTCGTGTTCTTCTCTCCGACCCTTGTTCTAAAGCAGGGCTACCGCGTCTACCAAAGTTTGAGCTCCCTTCAGGCTCCAGGCTTACGTCTGGGTCAAGGCACTCATAAGCAGCAAAATGACCAACAGGTGGCTGTCGGCAGGAAGGGCTGAGGAGCAGATGGGGCGAGGCAACCTGAAGATGCTCTTTGCGGTGTCTGAAGTCCATCACCTGACCCTGGCTCCCCGTGGGCCTCCCTGTGGCCAACCAGCCTTAGAGAGCCTTGAAAACAGCTGAAATAACAAGAAAGTCGGCAGACCTTTCTGGCAGAGGGCTCTGTTGGTTTTCCAGAGACAAAGCTTCTGATGAGCTGAGGCCAAAAAAGACAAAGGCACAGGGGGAGTGTGATCTCTGGTTGCAGAGCACTGTTGTTTCACCCGCCAAATCAGAACACGGCCTCGGCGCTGGCTGGGGCCAGCAGTCACGCGGGGCCGGCAGGAGGCGCCTGGGGCAGCAGCTGCCCACCTGCAGTCTGGAATGATTCCCCCACGCATTGTCATCCACCCAGCAAGCGTGGACTGAGGACACGTCCCGTTCTAGGCGCCGTGCACGCAGCAGTGATTGAAACCCCCAAACCCCTGCCCTCACGCTGCTTCCTTTCCTGTGGGGGGAAGAAAGGAAATGAGTAAAATACAATTTCAGGGGGAAAATCAGATCAGGAAGGGGATCAGGAGTGGTGCGGGGAGCAGGTGCAAAGTTAGAGAAGGTCAGGGATGACCTCACTGGAAAGGTGATCTTTCTATAAGGACCTGTAGGAGAGAGGGGAGGAAGCTCGGCAGCTGTCGGAAGTTATGTCAGAAAGGTATGGCCGGCAGAGAAATCAGTGAGGGCAAAGCGTGAGCTCGCGTGAAGGGCAACAAAGAAGCCACCGTAGAAACAGTGGAGTGGGGAAGGGTGAAGACTAAATGGAGTCAAGAGGAAGACAGGCTCTCACTGAGCAAGAGGGGAGGCTAGAGGAGGCTTCAAGCCAGAGCAGCGAGTTCTGACTCACATCATAACAGAGTCCCTCTGGCTCCTCTGCAGAGAATAAACAAGTGTGCTGCAGGGTGTCAGGTGAGAGAAAAAGCTGAGGAGTTAGGAGTCCACTGCATCAGTCCAGGTGAGTCCAGGTGAGAGACAGCGCTGGGGTGAGGCAAGCCAAGTGCCGTAGGCATGAAATTTGAGGAGTGGCACACCCTCCCCGGAGCCCATCCCACACTCACATGACTGACAGCGAGCACGTCCTTAAATTTTTCGTCATCCTAATCCAGGCCCAAGTGGAGAGGAGAATCCAGTTACCATGGTAGCCAGGAAGGAGGGCTTTCAGGCTTTTAATATCTGTGTGTAATAAACATCCTTGTGGCCCCTTCCTGTGCCCCTAGACCCAAACAAGTCAGTTTGGGACTGGCCCAACTCGGAAAGATTGCTTTCTTAGAGTGTATCTGGGGGACCTCAGTCTTAGCTCAACAGAAGATGAGACGGAAATCTTTTTTTTCTATTATATTTTTTCTTTTAGTTTTATTGACATACAGCACTTTATACGTTTAAGGTGCACAGCATAACGACTTCACTTAACATATACTGCAAAATGATTACCACAGTAAGTTTCGTTAACGTCCATCATTTCATATAGGTACAAGAAAAAAAAGAGACAGAATGATTTTTCCCTTGTGATGAGAACCTTTAGGATCTACTCTCTTAGCCATATAGCAGTGTTAACTATAGTCATCACGTTGTATGTTACATCCCCAGGACTTACTTATAACTGGAGCAAAGGAAATCTTTGATTGATTGCCTCTATCCAGGCTGGACAGCAATTCCACTTAGATAATTAACATGCTTTTTTTTTTTTTAAGCGTAAAAACCTCAAGCCAGAGCCTGTTGTTGGGAATATCACTTCTGTGAACCCAACAACGCCAGGATACTCATCCACAGGGGGCATATGACATCCTGCCTGGCTTTAGGCTAGAACCACCTGTTGGGACTGTCACAGAAGGAAGCCATGTGGCAGGAGCCAATTTGGGAGGGCAGAGGTGGCATCATGCCATGTATCTGAAAACTCAGTAGCCCTGCAGAAAGTATAGCTGGGTCCTTGAACACAGGTCAGAAAAACAGAGAGAGTAGATGGGCCTCTGAATAACATCCTTTCTCTAAAATTCTATCTTCCACTTGAGAAGAAGACTCATGAGGGGTGTGGTCAAGTAGAAAGGGCTCAGAGTGAATTACCTGCAATCCACTCCTTGAAAGCCTGTTTGCCAATTTTTTAAGGACTTTTTACAAAGTTGTATTATTTTTTTTTAATTTATATTTATTTATTTTTCCCCCAAAGCCCCAGTAGATAGTTGTATGTCACAGCTGCACATCCTTCTAGCTGCTGTATGTGGGACGCGGCCTCAGCGTGGCCAGAGAAGTGGTGCGTCAGTGCGCGCCCGGGATCCGAACCCGGGCCGCCAGCAGCGGAGCGCGTGCACTTAACCGCTAAGCCATGGGGCCGGCCCCAAAGTTGTATTTACTTATTATTTATTAACCATTTTATTCTGGAAGTTGTCAAACATACAAAAGTTGAGAAACTCATGCATAGCTACCCAACATCTAGACTCAACAATAATCAACGTACGGCCAGCCGGGCTTCATCTGTCTCCCCTTCTATTTCCCTTGCCCTCCTCCACATACATTGGATTGTTCTGAAGCAAACGTCAGATATCATGTAATTTCATCCATACACATTTCTATATGGTTCTCTAAAAGATAAGAATTATTTTTAAATATAACTACAATTCTATTAATAGCCCCTTTTTAAAATTAACAATAATTTGTTAGTATCATCAAAAATCCAATCAGTGTGTAAATGTCTTCCATTGTCTCATCAATGGCTGTTTTTTACAGTTGGTTTGTTCTGATCAGGGTCTACAGTCCACTACACATTGAATTTGGTTCTTGTATCTCTTCTCTTTTCATTTATGTAAGTTCCTCCTCTCTCTTCCCTACAATATATTTGTAAATAAATTTGGTTGTTTGTCCTATAAAATTTTTCAAATTTTGGATCTGACTGATCGTACCCCATGGTGTCATTTAAAATGTTCCCTGGACCCCCTTCTTCCCTGTAAACTGGTTTGCAGATCTAGAGGTGAGATCAGATTCAGGTGTGATGTTTTGGCAGGCCCACCCCATACATCTTATTTTTCTCCCTGTCATGTTAAGATTGATCAGTGGTTCATGTGTCAAAGTTTCATTTTTTTTCCTGTCATTTTTGCAGGAGAATAGGGAACTTTCTATCAAATGCTACATGCTATCTTTTCTATTTTTGCAGACTTATCCTTTCCCTGGATCTGTTCCACCTCTAAAACGAAATATGTTAGATTCTGTTACAGACTGAATGTTGCATCCTCCCAAAATTCATACGTTGAAGCCCAAAGTCCCAGTGTGATGGTATTTGAGAAGGGGCCTTTGAGAGGTCACTAGGTTTGGAGGAGGTCCTGAGAGCAGGGCCCTCATGATGGGATTAGTGCCCTGATAAGAAGAGATAGGAGAGCACTTGTTCTCTCTCTTACAAGTGAAGACACAGCAAGAAGGCGGCTGTCTGCAAGCAGGAAGAGAACTCTCACCAGGATCCAAATCCACCGGCTTGTGGATCTTAGACTTCCCAGCCTCCAGAACTGTGAGAAATAATGTTCTGCCGTCGGTGGGGCCAGCCCCATTGTGTGGTGGTTGAGTTCGGTGTGCTCCACTTTAGCGGCCTGGGTTCTCGGGTTCAGATCCCTGGCACGGACATACACTGCTCATCAGCCATGCTGTGACAGTGACCCACACACAAAGTGGAGGAAGACTGGCACAGATGTTAGCTCAAGGTGAATCTTCCTCAGGAAAAAAGAAAAATAAAAAAAAAAAATAAAGTTCTGTTGTTTAAGCCACCCAGTTTGCGGTATGTTATGGCAGCTCAAACCAACTGAGACAGATTCCAGCTAAGTTTTATCTGAGAACCTCTGAGGCAGAGGCAGGGGCAGAAGTAGAGGTCAGACCAAAACTTGGGGGAAAAAATGCTCAATCCAGTGAAGCAGTTACTTGGCAAATTGCCTTTCGGGGGTGTGTTGACCTGTTTCCAGAAGAATGTGTGTCCAGAATTCAGCATAGTCATTCGCTGGCTTTGTGACCGTGGATAAGTTACAAAGTCTCTCTGTTTCTCTCAGTTTCCCCACTGACCTGAAATGTAGAGCCATAGTAAACTTCCTCCACCGCAAACACAATGTGAGAAGGAAATAATCCAACACACGTCTACTCTCGGTAAGTGCTCAGAAATGTTGGCTACTGTTATTCCATCTCTCAAACGTTTGGAGGATAAAAAGATAACAAATACTAGAAAACTTTGAAAAAGAACTATGCAAGCCCAAAGCGTCACTAAAATTAATATTAAGCAAAACTTTTCTGAGTGTAGATGGTGAAATCCAGACTCCCCACAGCTATTGGCTGGGTTTTTGTTATAACTGTTGGTCTGCTCGCTCTGCTGCTAGATTCTGAACCCGGAGAGGGTAGGAGCTACGAACACCATGGTCACCAACAATGCCAAAGTGAAAGTGAAGAGTCATTCTGATTTGCGTTTCCAAAGCTCCAAACTATAGTTCCTTGTCACACAACCCCATGGCTGTCTGTGCCATTCTGGCTAAACCTGAGCCAGATCTCTCTACCTGGACAGATTCTGGTGACAGCTGGCATGGTCCTTGGAGTACGTTGCCTACCAGCAAATCTGATTTCGGATAATACAACAGTATGAGGTCAAGTCAAGGTGTAGGGTGGGTGCTAGGAAAATCCCCCTTTGCTGACACTAATTGAAAGTGGGAATTACATTTCAATATCAGATATATCCAAAAGAACTATTTGTCCATGACACTAGGCTAGGTGCTCCAGCAAGAAAAGTCCACAATTCTAGGATGCAAATTCCATAAGGGCTGGGATAAATATCTGTTCTATGCACTGCATAATCCCGGTACCCAGCCCAGAGGGTGTTTAACCAGTACTTGCTGGATGAATGCATCTAACATCAACAACTATGGCCGAGCCTGCTCTGCCCCACCCCAAAAGCTCAGCTCCATCTCATCACTTCCCTAACCTCAGATGACTTGTCTAAGTTCTCCTTCCTCCGAGATTCTCACTTGTAAAAGTACACTTGTTGAAATGCTGCTTTAGGTAATAATCACACGTGTCCTGTCTTCTGAACTAGACAGTAAACACTCTGAGAGGAGGGACCACATCCTCTGGGGTGTGGTTTTGTGGCCTGGGAAACGCTCACGAGTGCTCATGAGTGGGCTGTGATGAGCAGAGGCTGCCCGGATCGAGGAACAGTGGGTGTGGGATGGAGGGACGGATGCTCCCTGTACCCAGTCCCACCATGTACCCCTACTAAGCATTCAGGCTCACCTAAGGAGGGCAGAGCCCTCCACTGACCACGGCAGGGCAGGGTCCCTCCTGGCCTCCATAACACAGTCCCGGAGCACCCCTCTAGCCATCTGGAAACGCAAGGATGTACTGGTCCTAAAGGGTTAAAATAGGAGCTTAACACCATGTATTATCCCAGGGAGCAGCACGACAGGCTGTGCGTGTTTAGACAAGATGGAGAAAGCCAGCATCTCCCTTCAGGCAAGAAACATAGCAGGGAAGCAGGTTTTTATTTCTTGGCCTTGAGGAACACGAACGGTGAAGCAACTTCAACAATTATTCAAAGAAAGCCTGATTTAACCGGGGCCAAATCCAGTGGTCCCATACACAGCACTTTCCAACATTTCCAATTACATTTCATGACCCACAACTGTGTCATAAAATTTACTCCTAAAAACAAGGTGATTAAAATCACTTTGTTGGGAGAATTTTGATTTTTGTTTTGTTGTTTTTAGGACTTTTGCAATAGGCTTGAGATATTTATAGAGGCCTCCTCGAGGTGATGTTCTCTTTTTTTTTTTAAGTAATAAGAGGATGACAAGACTATAGGAGCAGTAAACTGTGAAGACTGAGAAGTCTGCAAATATCAGTGTTGAAATCAAATAAAACTTACTCCAGAGTGAATGAGACACACCCAGTGATACATCATCAACACTGCACCCATAGTAACCAGGCATTGTAGAAGTCAGATCGCCGGAGGCCCCTGCCTCCTGGGTGGGGAGGTGACATCCCGGTCCCCAAATCCAGCATGCTCTCTCTTGCCTCCTGCCATCCTCTCATGCTTTTCACCCTCCCCCTCCCCCTTGCCAGTCTTTGCAAGGTCTTTCTGCCTGTTCTACGCCTCACTGATCTCCATCCTCCTCAATCCCCCAGCCAAGAGTTACAGGGCCTCATCGTGAGCCAAGCATAGCGCTAAGCTGCTAAGCCCCTTAAACATTGCTAACTCAGTTAACCTAGCAACACAGCACGGAGCCCCCCACACAACAACCCTATGCAGTAGGTGTTATTATTATTACCCCCTCTTCTTGGATGAGCCGAATGAGGTAGAGAGAGGTTAAGTAATTTGCCTAAGGTGACATAGCTAGTGAGGGCAGAGCTGAGTCAGGCTCCAGAGCCCATGCTCACTGGCTTCCTACATTTATAGCATCTTACATCGTACCTCTCCATTATACAGCCCCTACCTGGCCTTGCACGCTCCACTATGGTGACTCTTGGGTTTGTTTTATCTCCCCAGAACTTAACCCCTGAGGGTAGGGACCACATCTTTCTTGGCCTCATATTATTATGGACCATACTCACTGGCCTGCAAATTGTTTTGCTTAGGCATCCCATAAAAGAATTTCGAAAAACAATAAACCTGGTCCATATCAATCAGCTGCCATAACAAAATATCATAGACCAGGTGGCTTAAACAATCGAAATTTATTTTCTCACAGGTCTGGTGGCTGGAAGTCTGAGGTCGGGCTGCCAGCATGGCTGGGTTCTGGTGAGGGCTCTCTTCCTGGCTTGCAGACAGCTGCCTTCTTGCTGTGTGCTCACACGCCTTTTCTCAGTGTGTGCTCTCACAGAGAGAGAGAGATTTCTATCTTCCCCTTCTTATAAGGACACTAATCTCATCATGAGGGCCCCACCCTCATGACTTAATCTAATTCCTCCCAAAGGCCCCATCTCCAAATACTGTCACACTGGGGGTTAAGGCTTCAACATATTAATTTGGGGGTGGGGGCAGGGGGGACAGACATTCAGTCCATACCACCCTCACACAGGTTTAAGTTATCTTCAATGTTTCATTGTAACTTTAAATTAGTGGCAAAAGACATCATTTCAATTGAATCTGTAAATGTAGACTTTTATAATAAAACTATCAAACCACTCTTTTAAATATATCCAATGTAATATAAACACCAGAGCAATTTGAAAAACCACCATCATTCCTTTAAAAATTACATGAGAACATTTCTCCTTAGGTCAGAAATAATTTTCTATCATTTCTTTCTCTTTTTTTCAAAACTGCATTTCCATTCCATCTCAATACAATATACTTTTAGGTTTAAACGTACTTAATTACCTTATCCTATTTCTCTGAAATACAGACTTTGAGTATAAATTGAAATTTAATTTTTTTTTTTTAGGGAGATTGGTACTGAGCTAACACCTGTTGCCAATCTTCCTCTTTTTTCCCTTTTTTTTCTTTTTCTCCCCAAAGCCCCAGTACATAGTCGTGTATCTTAGTTGTACATCCTTCTAGTTCTTCTATGTGGGACGCCACCTCAGCATGGCTTGATGAGCGGTGCACAGGTCCGCACCCAGGACGCAAACCGGCGAACCCCAGGCTGCTGAAGCAGAGTGTGCGAACTTAACTGCTAAGCCACTAGGCCAGCCCCTGAAATTTAATTTTTCACACTTTACTCTAGGTGTGAAAAAAAACCCCTTCTGGACTTGAGTTCCTATCACAATTACTACTCTAAGTGATCATTTATAATCAAACAACATATACTATAAATTTTGACAAATTATTATTGAGCATACAATAATTTTATTGGAAAAGCATCTTTAACAAGATGGACTGAGGGAGATGGGACATATTGACTTGAAGAAAGGAAGTTTCCTTGACATCCATATTTCGATACTCCCCCCTGAGACATTTTAGCAGGAGAGGGCACGCTGATAAGATCCTGGCTCTGGTTAAGCAGGAAAAGGCCACCTGCGCAAGGCTAATGAAGCGCCAGGCCTGCAGCACGGTGGGTTCTCAGAGAAATCGGCTTTAGGAAAGAGCTGATGTTCTGAAAACTGATTCCCCTAAAACTATCTGTGCCTTAGAACCCCTTCAAATTCCCCCAAGGGTATGCATTCCCATTTGAAGGGCCCTGCCTTCCATCAAGCTGTCAAATGTAGGGGTTGGGAGAGGCCCCACAAACCACAAGATAAACTCAGCACATCTACCTGGAATATCAGTATTCCCGGATGGAAAAGATTGTGAGGTGCTCTGCTGTGTGGAGAAGCAGATACTAAAGTTTTAAAGCAAAAATTTGCTTCAGTTGAATACACGTGGGTCACCAGGAACACAGGCCCTTACATGAGATAATGGGTGGGTGTTGCAGAGACAGGAAGGTGGAGAGTGGATGGGAGGGCAATCAAGGCCCCGGTTGAAGCCCCTTCAAATGCTCCCCCTCTTCACTGGCTGCTCTGAAGACCCAGCCCTAAAAGCAGGCTTGCTCCTCTCTGAGCTCCAGACAAGATTCCTCTCAATCTACTTACCCCAAGTTGAAGTTCTCACGGGCTGGTAAATGCAGTGAGCTTATTTGCAAGCCAGGGTCATATCTGCCTAGCAACCCAACGTGAAGACTAGAAGGACTCTAAACGTCCACAGAGAACAAGCAGGCCAACTTTGTACAAAGGAATCTGTTCTCATGCAAATGACTCTAAGCAAGACGGCTAGAAAAGAGAGAGCAGTGGGGATAGCTCTCGGGAGCCAATTTATTTCCCGAGAAGATGTTGAGGGACATTTTAAGGGCATCATTATAACCCTGCCCACTATAAATGAAGGGCTGGAGGGGCTCTACTGATACTTGGGTTGCAACAGACACAACAAAAGAGCCTAAGAGGGGAGGTGAACCCTTGACTTAATTTCCAGATTTTTCTGGTTCTGTACTCCAGACTCCAAAGGTTCTTTTGTTGGGGTTTAGAAGTAAACAGAGTTAGTTTTGTTTGGGGGGCGGGGGTTGATTAGCATGGTAATGCAGTGCTCTCCCTCTCTTTGCTTTCCCTGGAGGAGTGAAAACAGCAGGGGTGTTCACGCTTGGTCTGACCAAGATTGAAGGAACAAGGTGAAGCCAGCCCCCAACCAGGGCGGGCAAGAGTCATTGGTCTGTGGCTGGTAAGGCTGGGCAGAGGGTGGGTTTCCAGCCACCTCTCCATTATCCAAATACAGATGGCAAGTGTCATCTGTGGATGAGCTCTAGTTGCAAAAAGGGCCAGTATGTGTCTATAAATATTGTGAAACCTCCAGGGAATACCTTCAGTGCTCTGTGCCTCAACTTTTCTCTCTGCAAAATGGGGATGTGTGTCAACTGCAGAAGGTTGCTGATGGGGTTAAAATTAGATCACATACGTGGCACTTAATACAGCATTGGGAACAAAGCAAATATGCAAAATGTTATTAATAGGTATAATTAATACTAATAAAAATAATAGTGATAATACATTATTATTATTACAGTTACACCCCCTCCCAACAGCCAGTGGTTTCACTCGGTCAAATATTCACATATGACTTTCCCAATCATTCATTCACACCTAGCGCTTCCGGCAATATTTATCTAATTTTTAAAATCAAGGAGCTGAAGCACCAAGATCTTTCATGACTTGCTTAGAGTCATAAACGATGGTTATAAATGATGAGCTGCACTCCTAGGTTCCTACTTAGTACAGTAGATGCTGTGTCAAATTAAATATGACATTTCCATGTTGAGTGCAGTGACAGGTCCTAATGCACCGTAAGATCCTAAATATCAAAGATTAACTTACAGTCAGTCCTGTTTTAGCACTGTTTTCATGTCAGTGATTAAAATCAGTTTCTAAATATCATCAGGTACGGATTCTTCGAAGAACAACTCTAAAAAGCATCGCTTGAGGGGTGTGTGTTGGAGTAAGCAATTGGACGTGGTAAGCCATAAATAACAACAAGAGCGATGGGTCCTGACGGCTTACCATATGCCAGTCACTTTGATCTGAACTTTACAGCATCATAAATTAAACCTTTCCGTTCTGGGAATGTCACCACTGTCCCCATCTTCCAGATTTGGAAATTGACGCTCTAAGAAGTTACTCCGCCAAGGTTGCACAGTTACTCAGCGGCTCCTAGTTGTACAGTTCTGGCCGTAACACGGCACTTGACACCAGCATACCTGCTCACCACCTAGCCCACGCCAGCGCTTGTTAACAGCACAGTATGGCATTTAACCCAGTGGACCCTAGCCCAAAATCACGAGAAAAATCAGGGCGCGAGCAAGGAGCGATGTTTATTAAAATTCAGATCGCCGACTCCTCCCGGTGGCGACCCTCAGCGCACACACTCCCAAACTAGGCTCTCTTGAGTTTCTGACGTTAGAACCACATTCTCCAAACCCCAATGCAGGGAGCAGCCAGCGCCAAAGTTGGCAGAAAAACTGGGAGAATAAGGCCTTTGCTTTCCAACAGGTCCCAAATTGGCCTGGGGATGTGAGGTGGAGACCAGGAAGCAAAGTCCGCGCCCCCGCGGGCTGCGAAATGCCTGGGATCCGGCACACTGCTTTGTGCCCATGACGAGCTCGTAACCGAGGATTCCCGTGCATCCTCTACTGAGTCTACAGTGACCTTGAGGTCGGGGACTTAGGGATGAGGGATACGTATTCCCTAAACGTCAGGATCCCTCCCTACCCGGAGCTCCCCGCGGGTTAGGCAGCCATGCACCTGTGCGACTGTCGCCTTCCGCCCGGGAGGGAGGATGCGCGCGCGCCCGGGGCCTGGGATGCTGACTCAGCCTGGCGGCTCACATCCCTTCAACGTGGATGCTGTTGGTGCTGCTGCTGCTCCTGCAGCAAAGAGGGGAAAGCAAGGCACCCACAGCAGCCGGGCCGCTAGCTCCCTGGGGCCCAGTGTGGCACTCCGCCCCTCGCCCTAAAGGGGAACTGTAGGGCAGCGCGAGTTGACGAAATTGGAGGAAGTGGGCGCCGGAGGAGGAACTCGGGGTGCGCGGCGCCGCGCGCACAGCTCACACCCAAACTGGAAGGAACCTGTTCTGCTCCGGGCGGGCGCGGAGTAGCCGCACCCGCGCGCCCCCCACCCAAATCCCCAAATCCTCAGGGCGCGGGAGAGGCTGGGCGCGCCGGGGAGCTGCCGGAAGGGAAGCGGCCCGGGGGCCCCGCGCGCGCCCGGCCAGGGGTCCTCGTAGAGAGGGTGCAGGCGCCCCAGAACACGCCCGCACTCCCACTGGCAGTGCAGCAAAGCGCCGAGGTCTGGTCGCGCCAGACATGCAGAGCCGCGCCCGGGCCAAGGCGATGGGGGTGGCGTGCCAAGGACCCCGACGGCGTTGGCGGGGGCGGCCCCAAGCCGGACAGCGACGCCGTTACCTTCCGTGACCCCCCAGGCCGGGACCTGAGCGGGCGCGCGCCCGGCGCGGCCCCGGTCCACGTGGGCCG